TATATAAAAAATAGATTCAAAATTATTTTGAATTAGTTTAAATAATTTTAAATTATTTAAATAATTGTTATATATTTTTTTTTTTTATAATTATCCTATCTATGATAATACTGTAGATTTATTTATTGCGAAATAAAGTGATTTAATTTAAAATATTTCAAATTATTTTATTTTTATCAAATAGTAGATAGAATATTAGATTTTTCAAAAATATAAATTTTATTAATACAGTTGACTCTGGATATACCAGACTGTATATTCTGGACCTTTTTTGTTCAGTATAGAGCAAGTTTGTTATAAAATATACTCTCTTTATACCAAACTGTTCGGTATATAAAACTAACAAATAAAAATTTTTACAAAACTAAAATGTTTTTAGAAATATTTAGAATTTTACTTGAAATTTTGCTTTTTATTCATTTTTTTCGAAATATTTCAAATTACATTACTTTGTATATATGCGTATCCATGAAATTATATAATAGTTTATTATATCAAAATATGTATATATAGTTCTGGGCTAGTAAAAAGGAGTTCAGATACAGTATATAAAAATTTACTATTTAAGTTTAGTATAACCAGTCTAATTTATTATAAAAAATCTGTTCTGCCAAATCCATTTCATTATAATCCGATTTCAATATAAGCAGGTTTGGTATATTCAGAGTTGACTGTATTCAATTAATTTTAATTATTTTAATCTTATTTAATATTAATCAAATTAGTTTGAAATATTTCTTTTATAATATTGTGCAAAATATTACAAAATATTTTACAATATTTTATATTATATTTTATAATAATCTTGAATAATATTTTGTATTTATATATTTTACAATATTGCGCAATTTTTTGTGTAATATTATGCCTTTTTTACTTAGCGTAATTTATTGTGCAATATTACACTTTATTAAATTTGTTGATGAAGGCTAAAAAATTATATACTAATTGCAACTTCTTAATATATTTCAGTTATAAAGCTTCACCTTAATATTTAAAACTCTTTTCAGATATGTTACTCTAATTAATTATCTTCTAGTTTTTGGGTGTTTTTTTTAACTGAGGGTCTAAACTCATGAAGTAGCATCATATTTGTTAGTAAACAAAACATGTGTTGCAATCTACTAGGTTGTCCAAATTTGGAAGAGGTAAACAATACCGATTTTTTGACAGAGGTAAGCTGTTTTGCCCACTTTTTATAAAAATTTTAAAAAAAGAGCAAGTAGGTAATAGTATAAAAAATAGTCTTTGTACTCTTTTTTAAGAAATATATATTTTTTTCTAAAAGTAGTAGAATGTATAGAGCCTAGTAAATTGCTACCTTTCTTGTTGGTAGGTAATAAACTCTGAACTTGTTAATAAGTAGCATATAAGAACTACTTCTAAATAACAAATGCTATTCCCACAGTAAGTAATAAGCTCTAAGTCTGTTAACAGGTAGCATATAAGAACTATCTCTAAATAACAGGTGCCAGTTTATAGTTTTGGTTAGCTTTACACTTCTTTTTTCTATTATAGTTTACTGTTTTTTAAAAAAAAAGTCTGTTGTTTTTTTGGTATAAGAGATTGTCAAAAAAAGTTAATAATTTTACTATAAGTAAATAATCAAGTAATGGTTTTATACATTAATAACTTATATTAATTTCTTCTGCCTTGCATTTTTTATTAGCAACCAGGCTTCTTCATGCTGTCATATATGATGTTTTAGCCCTCACTTCTAAATAAATATGGTTTATAATATTATAAGGTTTAAGTGTAGTGATATCTTCAATTAATAGTACAGAAAACCTTTTAAGATATGATCTATATGCTTTAAATATTTGTATAGATATTGGGTAATTTTGATCAAATTGAATTAATTTTACAATATAAATATAATCATCTTTATATTTATTAGTAGATATGGTAAATAGGCATGAACTGGTATTAAGTGTAGGACAGACAACAAGGAGCTTGTTTGGTTTATTAGTTATGAATTTATATGGTAAAGAAAATTCAATAGAGTAGCTATCCAGAGCTGATCAAACATCTTATATTTTTGTAAATATTATACCAATATGCAAAATTATATTTGACATAGCAATAGTGAATTGTTGTAGCAATAAACAAAAAAAAGTTGCTTTTAATTAGGCTACAAGTGAAAAAAATAGATTTATTAGATTAACGAAATTTATATTTATAATAAAATCATTAAATTACTTCATTTTTCATGCACGCAAATTTCGGGGCACTTATTTGTAATAATTTTTAAAAATTGGGCCCCAATACATAATTATTGTAGCAGATTAAAATGAAATCGGATTAAAATAAAATTTTTCTATTTTTTTAGAAAAATTTAAAATTTTTTGGAAAACATTTTTTAGGGTTAGGGTTAGGGTTTAGAGTTAGTTTTATTAATAAAAGAGTATAAGTGTGTTTTATAAGCTTTAAAGATGAGCAAGAAAGGTCCCCAGTTTCATTTTAATCCGATTTCATTATGATCTGCTACAATTATTTTTAATTCGGGCCCCTATCTTAATTTTTCGGGCCCTTATTTGTAATTTCCCCCCAAAAATACGTAGTGATTTATTTCGTATGATGAGAATGATCATCCAATAGAAACTTGAGGGAAAATTAGTAAATCCGATCTTAAACTATGCATTTAAAACTTTATACTATATATATATAGGCTGTCCAGAATTATGCAATAGCAGAAATTTGCAATTGAAATAAATTTATTATTTTTAGTAAACTTTTAAACTATTATAAATTTGTATTTAAAGACCAGGTCCTAAAGTCCCGGACCTAAGGACTTTACCAACCCTACTTATCGGGCCTTCGTGAAACAGTTTCTCCCAGTTTCAATTTGATTGATCTAGTCTCTGACGACTTTTCAGCATCAGCAATGTCATCTAACTTGCGTTTATTCCCGACTACTAATGTGGATGAACAATCAACGATACCGGTATCGTTTTTATCCTCTCCCAGTTTCAATTTGACTGATCTAGTCTCTGACGACTTTTCAGCATCAGCAGTGTCATCTAACTTGCGTTTATTCCCGACTACTAATGTGGATGAACAGTCAACGATTCCAGCACCATTTCTTTCCTCTCCCAGATTCAATTTGACCGATCTAGTCTCTGACGACTTTTCAGCATCAGCAGTGTCATCTAATCTGTGTTTATTCCCGACTACTAATGTGGATGAACAATCAACAATTCCGGTATCATTTTTATCCTCAACTCTTACCACTGATGTGGATGAACAATCAGCAACTCCGACATCATTTTTACTTTCAACATTTACTGCTGATGTGGATGAACAATCAGCAACTCCGGCATCATTTTTACCCTCAACATTTGCTGCTGATGGGGATGAACAATCAGTGATTCCGGCATCATCTTTACCCTCAACCTTTACTACTGACGTAGATGAACAATCAGAGGAATCATTTTTACCATCAACTTTTTTTTGTGCATTATTCTTTTTTGCGAGATTAGATTTCTTTTTCATTCCTTCGACAGCTTTTTGTCTATTCAAATAATATATTTTTTCTTCTTCACCTAAACAAAAAAAAATCCACATTTTGTAAAAAATTAAAAAAAATGAAACAATTAAAATCATAAAACAAACCTTGGAGCACTGTAAAGACAGGCTTGAAACCATCAAATTCCAGATCGTCATTTGGAATTGAAGACGCAACATTTGAGGCGATTGGATCCTTAAATTGGATTATTCCGCTTTTAAGTTGCTGTTCTAATTTGACAAATACCACATTACCGTATTCTGTCCCCATTTTAGCCTGTATTTAATTTTCAAACGAGAAATTAATATATTTTTAAATAATATATGCTGTGTGTCTAATATAAAACATAAATGCAGTTATATGTCAAAGATGATTAATATTATATCGTAAAGTTTAGAACCAGGTTTAATTTTCATATGAAAAATAAAACTGATTCCAAACTCTAATATATCGTAGCAAACAAAATTTATGTTATCATGTGACATATAGCACGTATGACATTTAGAGTACCTTAATGTCTTCCCAACGAACATTAGGTCCAGCTCCCTTAAAATGTAATAAGCAATTAGTTTCATATTTAGAGGTTGGTTTTGATTTGGTTTTCTGAATAGGCGGTTGCGGTATTTGTTTGCGCATGGTATCAGGATCCAACCCTTTTTCAACGCATTTCATTTCACAATAATCAAACCTACATAAAAAAAATTGGTTTACAATAAGAGCAAATAAACAAAATAAAGTCTATCATTGAGGAAGAAAAAAACCAAATTACTTCATCATTATTATTAATTTTACGCCATTAAAAAACAGATCCATCTCTGATATCTTTTTCGCTTCTTCGTGTTTTTCAAATTGTATAAAGTACGATCCCTTAAAGATAAATAACCAACAAATTAATTCAAAATATTAATCTGAATGATCTAGCATGGACAAATTACCTTAAATTTTTCATTATTCTTGCGTGCCGTTACTTTAACAACTTTACCGTGCTTTTTAAAAAAATCTTCAATAGATTTCTGAGAGGGCTGATTGGTCGTGTCAAATCCTTTCTGATTAATCAGTTAAATGTAATGAGTCAAATTAACCGAGGTGTCAGTAAATAAATCAATTAAAAAGACTTAAATCATTACTGCGTAAATCGACTTCCACATCGGTCCAGATTTTATATATTCCGGAATTGGCAACCTAATAGGAGTTTTTCTCCGAATTTTCGTACCAGAACCGTCAACTTCTAATATTTCTGGAGATTCTCGTAGCGCCTCAACAATTAATGCGTCGTCTTTGTAAACCTGCATTTTTCTAAATTGACGCACTATAGCAAGTGGGACCCCTAAACGCATATAATTGTCGTTAAGGAATGTGAATCGGTGAAGGAGCGATTAATCTCTGATAAAAATCGTTAAAGGATACATCTTTCTGGGTCTTTGCTACACAGTTCATTAAGAAATTTGTCCTTTGGAAAATTTTTATCACCAAAATAATATTCCACTTGTTCAAGAATGCATCGTTTTTCTTCTATTTGTTCTGGAGTTCTTTGAATTGGCTCACTTGGAGTGATATCTTCAATGGATCGTAGAAAGTAATAGAATTATGGTTAATGCAAGAATAATTACTACCAGCCAAAAAAACATAATGCTCTTTTAAAATAATTTGGGAAAATTTTCGCTATTATTGTATTGTTACTTTCTTTATCCTTAAGAACAAATAAATACGAATTTTAAGAAATAATTTCCTAACGCTGTAAATCGGCTCTGATACTGCATTAACACAAATAGGAGTATATATTCACACTATTAAAGCCTTCTTTCTTTTAAAATTTATTACCTGTCGTGTTGATGTCATTTGTCCCTGTAGCTGATGCCACCTCGTCAGCGTTTTGTTGGATTTCTGATCCCATGTTGTAGAAGAAAAGAGAAAAAAATAACGATATTTGTCAAAAAAAAAAAATTGATCTATTTTTTATTTAATAGCGAATATGTCACACCGCGTGATAAATTATAATAAAAAAACATATACCGTAATTTTTACTAAGAATAAAACAACGTAATTTTGGTTAGGGTTAAGTTAGGGTTGGGAAAATAGAGTTTCAGTTAGTAAAATTTCATGAGGAGCATTTTTATTTAGGCCGCAGAAGGTGGTTTCTTAACAGTCACGATTTGTCACGCAGATCAAAGGGGTAAAAGCATGATGGAAGTTGGTTTTGATTGGCCAATATATATTTATGATCTGCGTGTAGATGTTACACCAAACCTGTGATTATGTCATATGATATATATAAATAAATTGACCAATAAAAATGCCAAATTATTGTCATATGGGGTCTTTGCCTTGAAAATCACGTTATGGGACATAGTAAATCATATGTTCTATAACTTGATTTTCAAGGCAAAGCCCCCATATGATTAACGACACACGATAATCAATGCATTTATTAAAATTGTGACAAGCTTTAAGATTATTATGAAAGAATTACTAATACGGTAAAATTTTGCAAGGAAAAATTTTTGTTAGAGCGTATAAGTCGGTTTGTTATGTAAATTTTTAAATTATGAATGATTTTAAAAACGGTCAAATTTTTTTACATTATATTAATCATAATTGAATCATTGGTCAATTATCACATGTGCGGATAAATTCTTCTACATCCTGACAGTTTATAATTAATATAATAACAAATTATAAGTTTACTATAGCATATTACAAAAATCAGAAACATAAAATAATTTTATATCTATGATCTTATTCAAAGTCCTAATGTATCATTTATTTTTGGGCATATATTTTATAAATAAATTAAGGTGACTCTTCGTGTACAAAATATTTCAGGGGTAACGCGTTCAGTAGTATTAATTAGAGTAATATATAAGTTATTTTAAGTAGTAATATGTAACAAAAAAAAATTAATTGTTTAATAAATAGATGCTTTTTTTCAAAGAATTAAAATTTTAAAAAAATTTTTACAAATCATGACAAAAAAAAATCTCAGCCCTTGTTCAGTTCGTAATTGCCAGATTAGACCAAATCAATACCGCGGAATCACGGAATATGCTCTAAGAAAAGCAAAAGAAAAGGGCACTTTTAATCAGTATAATTATTTAGAAGTTGGAAAGCAATTGTGTTATTCTCATTACCTTGAGATTGTTGAACCTGATCGCAATAATGTACAATCAACTAATAATAATAAACAAGATAACATAATCGTTAGAAAACCATTATCATTTGGGGAAAAAATTATTTTAATGACTAGGGTGTTATACGAAAAACAAAGAAAAGAAAATAATACACTAGAATTAAACCCAGATCGTTTTCAGGCAATGCTTGAGGATGCTGAGCCACAATTGGTAGGATTCTTCGATGAGCTTTATAACGCGTTTATTCCAGAAAGACGATCAGCTTATAATAGAAAAGAAGATAAAAAAAAAGTGATTAGTATATGTTACTCAATTGCAGCAATACGTAATAGACTTGTAAATAACTATCCTTTGGAAATTGGATTATATTTACTAGCATCAGGTGCTTCGTGTGATGCAATTAATGCAATACATAGTGCAGGTATTACTGTTTGTTATAAGACTGTCGAAAACTACAGAAAAAAAATTGTAGCTGCACAGCCAGAAAATATTCGAAAATACTTTGTTGAAAAAGTAAGTATTATAAAAAATAAAAGTAAAAAAAAATAATAATAAAAAAAATAAAAAATAAAATAAATAAATAAAAAATAAAATAAGTAAAAATATAAAAAAAAATAATAATAATGAAATTCGAATTTACAAAATTAGTTTAAAATTCTGTAGCCATAGAGATGTGAATGCAACGCCGTAATTTGTTGTAATTATAATGAGTTATGGCAAAAAATACTGTAATTTATTATAATTACAACAAGTTACAGCATTGTGTTCACACCTCTAGCCATAATACATAATTATCCTAAATTTTTAATGTTTTTAATATTAGATAAATAGCTTTTTCGTATATAATATCAACGATTACCACAACATACATGGAATAAGACGTCCTGACACCGTAGTTCTTTCTGCACCTATTCATTTTTCAACATGCGTCAGTAAAGAAATTACTAAATGTGCACCAATTCCAATAATTTACAACAATAATTCGGTCCATAATCCTACCAATATTGATGCGAACTTAATTTGTTTGCACTTAATTACGCGGTATCATGGAATTTTTGATCTTTCCTATTCACAAAGAAAAAGTCAATGGACCACTTCACAAGGAATTGGGCTTATTAATTTCGATAAAATCAATCTTTTAACTGTTCATTGCTATGACGATACTATAAAAGAAAAAGAAGCAGAAAGAACTATGGAAGAAGTTCGATTAGTTAAGATTAAGGAGCGTCAACTTCATTCCCTAGATGATTATTTAAATGTTTTGAAGATGATTCTCTTAGTAAATGAAAACGCTAAACGTACAAATAATTTCGTAATGCCTGTTGTTGCTGACTGGCCGGGCAACTTTTTATACAGAAGGCATTAACTAATTTGCATCAACAAAATACAAGAATACCAGCTTCTATAGATGCCTTTATACCTATATTAGACTCGCTTCATGTTTCGTTAAACAGCCGGGAGCAAGTTCTAAAAATATATTATTCTTTTTTTAAAATGCTCTTTCATGCAGTTTTTGGAAAGTGTAAAACTCTCGCATAAAACCAAAACCATGGAGAATAAACCTCCTCCTTGAACTTGCTTACCAAGAATGGATAATGATAAAAGCAAAAATATTAGCTAAATTTGAAGCAACATGTAAAGATGTAGAATATAGGATGTTAGTTGACCTTCTTGATAATATCATTCCTGCTACTTTGGATGTATATGCGGTTCTTGTTCGTTCAGGCTCTTTCGATGAATACGTTGAAACGGTTTTCCGAATATGGACTTTTGCTCTTTGTTGGAACCGTAAAAACTACAATAAGGCATCTCTGGTGTTCTTGTCTGATATTTTTTATTGGCAAGAAAAAGAACATCCAATATTAGATGTAATTAAAATGTTTTTGGTAAATTTTAACGATTATTTCGTTGAAAATTTCCATAGTAAAATACGGGCAAATACATCTTCCGGTGATAGCGTCGATACTATTATTAAACAGGCTTGTGTTTTAGGTAAAAAAAAAAACAAATAAAAAAACTTTATTTAAAATAATTTAATCAATAAAATTAATTATTTTTTTTTTAAAAAAAAAAAAAAAAAAAAAAAATAGACGCAAATAAAGAATCGCCATTTAAAGAAACATTCCACACAAAAAAAAGGTATCCATATACGCCCTCTAATCTAGAATATTTGGCAAATAAAACATCATTATTTTTGTTGGATTATTTTCGCCAAGTGTTCTACCATATTAAGACGGTTGGTAGTATAACAGACAAATCATAGAAAAAATAAGAAAAAAAGAAAAAAAAATTTTAAAATACAAGCTTGCTGTCTTAAATGAAGAGGTTGATACTATGTTCTTACCTACAGGTTATAGTACAAGCGTTCCTCCTTTACAAGAACTTTGTGATGACTGCTTTGATTCATTGAGTGAAAAAGGTGGTGGTACTGTCTTGATTTGTGGTCACGGTTTTCACTGGCACTGCTATGACAAGATGGAATATGGATGCCGACATTGTGAACAGTACTATAAGAATGGAATATACAAAAATGTTAATTCATTTTTAAAAAGACTTGAAAAAGGAGCAAATAATATTACCGAGGAGGATGGAATTGAAGAAGGATCACAAGATCCCGAAGAGACAGAAGATGACGCAGAGGAGCATGAGTTTATTCAAGAAAGAGATGAAAGAGATGTATTAAAATTACAAAATGCATTAGAAGATGTAGATAAATGTTAATAAAGCATTATATAAGTGCATCTCACTAAATTTCTTACCTTCTAAGTTGTAGAAATTAAAGTAACTACTATAGCGTTCATACCTTCGTCACCTTTCACGTATAAGCCAGCTACCTTTAAATACTTGATCTAACTTGATCTGAAAGTTTTAAAAGACCCGTAAGGGTATGAAGAACGTACTAATAAAAAAAATTTTTTTATTACATAAGTTACTTTAAAAGTTGCTATATTACTAATAGGAATTTTATAATGATTTACGATTCATTGGCCAATCATATTCTATCTGATGATCAAAATCGATGACCAATCAAAACCAATTTCCATCATGCTGGAGAAATTAGTGGGGTTTATATATCTGTGAGCTAAGCGACTAAGCGACTAAGCGACTAAGCAACTAAGCAACTAAGCGACTAAGCGACTATATAGTTAAGCGATTAAGTGACTAAGTGACTAAGTGACTAAGCAACTAAGCAACTAAGCAATATGTTAATAATAATACAAGATAATAATATTCTAAGATAATAATTAATAAAATAATGAAATAATAAAATAATGAAATAATAACTAATTTGTTCTATAACAATGTAATGAATCAATTCTGAAATAATACTAAATTGAATATTATTAGTGGTTTGATAGTGTCTTGGGTTAATTTTTAGAACTTGAAATATATCGCTAATAATTTTTATCATTTAATGATTATTAGATATCAAGAAAACAGCTATTAATAAAAGATATAATATACTAATTCTATTCATCACATTTGTACTTAGAGACATGATTAATAGATACAAATACAGCCTATAAAAATGCATATTTTAACAGCAATCAACCTATTGGTTAGTCACGTTTCTCAGATTATCATGGTTTGTTCTACAATCTGCATTTTAGAAATTATCTCTTAAATTCAAAGAACTGCCAAAAGTTTCATATTATAAGCTTGAAATCAAAATTCATATACTTTAATTCAAGGCTGAGATTTGTTTTATATAAAATAAGTGTCTGGAATAAGTTCTCAATAAAGTATTATTTATTTAATAGAATGA